CTTCCATTTCAAGTTTAGTTGTTTGTAAAGTATAATTTTAAAGGAAAATGGTTCAGAACATAGTGATTTTCATTGTTTTGTATGATCTAATCAACAGCATTCTTGAGAATGTTCTAAAGTTAGAACATACCGGCTCTTTGTTTGGCATTTCATTTTTTCAAACTCGTTCCCTCATAGTTTCAAGAAAATTACAGATGTGTATCTTAAAAAGAAGTTGTCTCCCTCCACTTATAAGTATCGTAAATAATTAATTACTTTATTAATTATCGATAGGATTAATTTTGTCTGAAGAGCCAAAACATAAAAAAAAATGGGAAGAACTAGATAATTTTCTCTGAAATGACTGTGTAAGTCCATAGGGAAATTGGATTTCGTACAAATTGCTTCGTATTAGTCCTGCATTCAAATATCTCCTGCTAGATTCCCCAGTGAGATTTCTAATCATTTCTTATAGTGATCAGCTATTATCCACGCCTATCTGATTTATATAGACACTTTATATATTAAATACTGCCTGTACCTAGTCCAGTACTTTGATTACATATGTACCTGACTTTCACAGCTAATTTCATAAGATGCTTTCTCCTTTTTTGTCATTTTGACATGACATGAAAGATTTTCTTGGTGACAGTAAGTTTCCTGCTCAGCTCCAAAATATATGATAGCACAGCTATCCTAATTTTTCCTTAAAACCTTAAAAAAAACCCATGAAAGTCCATACTTCATTCAGATTTCCTTAGTTTTAAACCTAATACTCTTTCTTTTTTTCTGCTTGAAGATCCCATCCAGGAAGCCACATTACATGTGGTCATTACGCCTCCTTAGGCCCCTCTAGCCTGTGACAATTTCTCAAACTACCCTTGTTTTTGATGACCTTGGCAGTTTTGAGGAGGAACATAGAGTTTTGCAGGCCCTTGGAGCTTTTAAAAAATGCTTTCCAGAAAAAAAGAAGTAAACAATAAATGTCTTTTCCTGTGCCACAGAAGAATGTCTTTACCAGTGCAGATTAAAGCCAAAGGAAAAGAATTTCTTGCTTATGGAGGATAGCGATCGCCAGCCACATACTCTACTTTAGTACATGCATAGAAATGAAAGGGTACATGCCCACATGATTTGACTTCCAAGGTGCACAAGAGAAGACTTAAAAATTGGAGGTAATTATATTCACAGAGAGGGCCAAGGGACCCTGCTATGAGCAGATGTTTTCTGGCTTTATGAGCCTGGAGCAGGAGGGGCTGAAGCAAGGGGCATGAGCCCGTTGGCTAGGAAAAGGTGACTCAGAGCAGATTGGTAAACACTGGGTAGTTTACGAAGGTAAGTCTGGGGTTGTTTCCAGTGAAGCCTCTGCTTGCTATGACTTGGGCAGGGCCAGGCTGAGAAGGAGGCAGATAGAGAGGAACTAGGTGACTTCCCTAGATTTTTGAGTACTTTTTCCCCTAGAACCACTCAAAGTATCTGAAATCCAAAAATATTCATGGCACCAGGCCTCCTCTGAGTAGGGAAGCCTGATTTAGCAATAAAAATACAAGACTCCCAGTTAAGGTTGAATTTCAGATAAATAATAAACAGCTTTTTCAGTATAAGTATGTCCCAGGCAATGTTTGGGACATGCTTATGCTAAAAAATGTATTTGTTGTTTATCTGAATAGTCAACATCCTGCATTTTCTCTGCATTTTCCTTGGGTCCCCTTGGGTATGTGTGGCGGGGGAGAGGAGAGAGCAGAAAAGGAGAAGCATTGTAGGTTGGACAGTTTCTAGCCTCAGACCACCACTCTCAGAGAGCAGTTACCTTAATGTGAAAGACAGATGTGATATCATGTATTCTCAAAAGCTACCCCAGGTCAGCCTTTGAGGAAACTGTGAGCCTCTAAGACCTCTGGAACAACATTCTTTTTATCTCCTTCTTTCTTCATTTTTGAACAGATACCCAATTAGTCCGTGTCCTATAAACAGTATTCTTTAATATATACAGATACTGAAGAAAACAACCCAGTGGGATCAGAAACAAGGGGTAAGCAAAGGTAGAATTTCCTTACGGCCACCTGGTTCCTAACACGTCCTTTTGTTGTTGTTGTTGTTGTTGTTGTTTGTTTTCTTTGTGGAGCTCTGGATTTATGGACCAGTGTTGAGTCTCACGGCTTTCTCAAGCTCCTCCTATCTAATTTCTAGTTTTTTCCAGATGATGGCAAGAATAAAAACTTGACTGTAAAAAATCCCTCATGCATGGGATAATTGAAAACTAAGTATAATTGTAAAAGGTAAGTGTTAAACCACGTTACGTGCCTTGGCATAATTTAAAAAAACATAAGCATAATTTAACAAACTAAAGAATTTGAAACTGATATAAGTATGCTCTTGGCCTCCAAGAAAGTCAGCGAAAGGATTAAGCTTGACATCCTTCAACATCAACTGGGTCAAAATCAGAGAGCATTTAAAAGCCTTTGCAAAATAGAGATGACACATCATAATCTTTTAATGACAGAAATTCCCATTAGCATCAACTGTTGCATAAATAATATTCATTATAGTGATTAGAAATGTTAATTTCTTAGAGCAATCATAATTTCCTTTAATCTACTATGGCAGTGTTTTTTAAACTCCAGGTTATGACCCATTAGTGGGTCATGAAATCAATTTAGTGGGATATAATCAGCATTAAAGAGAATAGAATAGAATACAAAATACCCAATTTCATTGTATACAATGTAAATATAATTTCATGTGCTTTAACTTCAGCTTTCTAAAAACTTAAGTATAACTACTTGGTTACAATATAAAATGTATTTCATATGGTCTGTCATGCAGTCAGGACACAATTATTCTATATTATAACAAATAAATTGTATGATTTAAGGTGAAACACAAATTTAAGTCACAAATTGCTGAAAACAGAAGAAAATATTTACAGTAGAAGATATTGTGATGGCTTATATGTGTTTAACCAATAACGGGGCCACTTCTCTGTTTGCTGAGTTCTGGTTCAAGGTGATAAATGTGGAGTTCTACTTCTTCTTATCAATGCAATTAGGGATGCCTTGGTGGTTTACGTAAGTGAGGGCTATGGGGGCAGCCTGTCTCTACTATTTCCAGGTCAGCTTATCTTGGGCATGTAACTGAATTGTTCTGTGTCTCGATCCCCTTATTGATAAGATGAGCCTTGCAATGAACTGGTCATCAAATTCGTAAAGATTAAATGCATTTATACACAGAATGTATCTAACACAGCGTTTGGCACTTAGCAAGTCTTCAAGAAGTGTTAGTTAGTGACTTTATCACTTTTTCTTATTTTCGTGTAAGAATAGCCAGCATTAGAGAATTTCTTGCCTCAAGCTTTTAATTTTCTGACAATCAGAGAACGGAGGCCAAAGTGTGCTTTGTGGTTCCGCACACACAGGGTCCCGTGCATGAACTCTTCTTCATGTCTCTGTCAGTTCACGGGAATGAAATGTTTCAGAGCAAAGGTTCTCAACCTGGGACACATGACACACCTTGCAGCATTGTGAATTTCTGAGATGTGATTGGGATTTTGAACGAATGTGCAAATACACCTTTGGGGGATACATGGAGGGGATCAATGGCTGCTAGCATCACGATCATGAGCATATGTGGCGCACTGAAGAGTTAGATGGGATCTAAGTTCAGGCTTATTAATTAGCATGGTAACCCTGAGTAAGTTACTTAAATCTTGTAGCTCCACTACGGACACTATCTGTCTGTAGAATGGGGATTAAAGATAGCTGCTACACAATACAGTTGCCGTAATAATTAATGTTTATAGTGTTTGTAAAAAGCTTAGCATCAGGCATAATGGCTGCCACAGAATGGCTATTCAAGGAAGAATTAATAGTGGAAAAAGGGTAGGGAGACTGGAAAATAGAACACAATGGTTGCTATTCTGAATTTCAATTTTGGAATGTTAAGTCTATCACTGAATCATTAAGTAATCATTCATTCAGTAATCCATTCCTTCATTTATTCAACAAAAATTGACTGAATGCTGCCATGTGTAAGGGATTATGTGAGGTGCTGAGGTGTGTCTTATCCATGAATGGAAAAGGCACATTCTCTGTCCTCACAGAGCTTATGATCCAGGAAGGCTTGCCAACAGGCAGTCACCAACCTTGTGATAAATGGGGCAGCAGGTAAAGTATGGGGCTCGGGAGAACAAGGGTGACATCTCGAACTCAGAACCACATTCAACAAGATTTGTGGTTTTGTTTCATCTTATAGTTCCAGTTTTCAGTTCAGTGCTTAACAGAGATAACTTCCTTTTGTTTATTTAATGCTGAATGTTATGGGTCAAATGTATAGACCTATTAGGGGACATTAAGGGCAGAATTTGATCTGTGGAGCCCAGAGGAAACTGCTCTTCTCTTGAATATGGTTCTAAGGATGAGCACATGTAGTGAGACCTCTTGACAGCAAGGGGACTAGAGAACAGGACAAACATCCACCTTCAAGGAAAATAAAAAAATCCAGGGCATTCCTATTTTTGCCTGGACTTCAAGGACACTTAGAGCTAAATTTAATGTTCCATTACAACAAGTATAGTAGCCTATTTTTTTGTTTGTTTATTTCTTCCTCTTTTGTCTCAATGATTTTGATTTTCCATTTTTAATGCATTATGATATCTCTCTATCATCTATGCCATATTAAATGGTTTTTGAAAGTAGACAGGGTTTAATTATTAAATAACTTCAGTAACTTAGTGTCTTACATATTACATTAGCCTTTTACTTTGTATATTTTTATGACTCAGTGGACATGACCAAATTGTAATATATTTAAACTTTATGAAATTGAGTCGTACTTTGACAGCTCTATCTATCATAGAAGAATTTCATAGCAGGAACAATGTCTTCCAGGAGAAGTCCTTATGTTATTAATAATTGGATGTCACAGTAACATTTGGGATTATATCTACTGTTGGGAGACAAAGTTGCTGTGTTAACCCATTTAAATTATTTTTGCACTCTCTGGACACAGAAAAACTCTTTTACCTTTGAGCAAAGCTGTCAGGATAGCTAAATCAATGTCCTGGTGTCCTTCTGACCCCATCCGAAAGACCGTAATCTGCAATTTGAGACAAGGTGACCATTAGCAATGCATGTTTTTGCCCAAGAGAAATTCGATCAATGAGTCCATATCTGAACAAAGACTGTCTTAATATCTACAAGGTAGAGTCTTCACCACAGGGAAAGCAGACAGAGCAAGAATTCGGCTAGAGGGTTCTGCAGTTCATTAAGAGGAAGATGTCTCATAGCCTCCTAACAGGGACCACCTCACATAATTGCACTGATTATGTTTACAATGATGAGAAACAATGAAGGAAAATGTCCTCTTCTATCGTTTCAGTTTGAAATTAAAACTTGCTGGATTTACAAAAATGTGTAAGCTGTGATGTAAACTGTGAGTTGAGAAATTGTTTAAAAGTAGCTAGTTTAGTATGCCCTTCAGTAAGTGGTCCTACTGTGTATGTATGTGTGTGTGTGTGTGTTTATGTATCTGCGTGTGTACAATAAAGCCATCACCACACTTACTCCTCAGCAATAGTTATGAAGGGTTTTGATATTGGGACGGCTCTAGATCCTTCAGTCCTCTCGCTAAACTTGAACCCCCTTGAACCCTCTTACACTGTTAGTGGGAATGCAAACTGGTGCAGCCACTCTGGAACACAGTATGGAGGTTCCTCAAAAAGTTGAAAATAGAGCTACCCTACAACCCAACAATTGCACTACTAGGTATTTACCCAAAGGATACAAACACAGTGATCCGAAGGGGCATGTGCACCCCAATGTTTATAGCAGCAATGTCCACAATAGCTAAACTGTGGAAAGAGCCCAGATGCCCGTCGACAGATGAATGGATAAAGAAGATGTGGTGTATACATATACAATGGAATATTACCCAGCCATCAAAAAGAATGAAATCTTGCCATCTGCGACAGTGTGAATAGAACTAGAGGGTATTATGCTCAGTGAAATACGTCAGTCAGAGAAAGGCAATTATCATATGATTTCACCCATATGTGGAATTTAAGAAACAAAACAGATGAACATAGGGGAAGGGAAGGAAAAATAAAATAAGAGGAAAAGAGAGTGAGACAAACCATAAGAGATGCTGACCTCTAGGGAACAAACTGAGGGTTGCTGGAAGGGAGGTTCAGTGGGGGGATGGGGTACCTGGGTGATGGGCATTAAGGAGGACGCATGATAGAATGAGCACTCGGTGTTATATACAACTGATGAATCTCTAAATTCTACCTCTGAAACTGATAACACACTATATGTTAACAAAACTGAATTTAAATAAAAAAATTACCTTGAACTCCCTTGAAAATAACTTAGCAATTATTTCCAGATTGTAAGAAGAGGAAAACAGATAATACAATAACATCTTTCCTTTTGGTAATCCAGGGGAGAAAAGTATTCTCCAGGGATGAATATCAGGAAGGAGAGTAAAGATAGAGCGATGGAGGATTAATACAAAGTCCCAGAATAATGTGGAACAATAACAAAGATCTTTTCTCCAAGTCAGAGGGAAGCCAAAAGGTTATTTGAATATCTACACTGAATTACTATTTTTCTCAGCTGCTTTAGGCTTCAGGTTTCTCTAGCTGTAAAATGAGAAAATAATAGTGCTTGCCTATTTCCAACTACCTAGGAAGTAAACTTTATAGCATTTGCTAATGTATAATTCTAAGTTTTGCCAGTATGAGGGAGAGAATAGACAGACTCAGAGACTGTGAAACTATCAGTTGCCTTAGAAATCTAGTCCACTACCCAAAGTAACTTGCTTAAGGTCACAAAATGAGTTAGTTAGGAGAGTTGTGATTAGAACTCAAGAGCTCTCACGTTCTTGTCTTGTGCCTTAAACACAGGGACGAAGAGAGGGGAAGAAAGATTATACAAACATCTGATTTGTGAGCTTCTTAATTCTTTTGTATCCTGATTGTTTATGTCCTGAGGTCAGAATGTGCAATGAGTATAAAGCAGAGACTGTAGACTGAAATGCCTTCGTAGGCATTTGAACTTAAAAACATGAAAAATAGAGAGAGCCAAACAAAATCTATCTACACACTGTGTTTGGCTCAGGGGCCGAAGTTGTGATCTCTGGTAAGGACCACTGGGTGGAGGCGTGCCCCAGCTCCATTAGATTTGCACTGAAATCTGCTTCTGCATGGCTATAGGTTTGGCTGAAGGGCCAACAGAACATCCTCCCAAATGGCTACTGATGCCACCACAAAATCCACTTGGAAGAAGAGGGGCATCTCTTCTCGGTTCTGAACTCAGGAACAGGTGTGTGAATTGGGAAGACAATCTGAGGTCCACAGGATTAAGAACCAGGGAGCAGAAGTGGAACTTGGTCAACCCTACAGATTAACTCTTCGAGCAGGCCAACTATAATCTGTAAGGTATCATGTCCTTAGCTGGGAGGAAGCTGAGGAGAATCAGGATAATATGTGAGCTCATTGTTTTAGAAGAATTTAAAACTTAGGCATCAGAGTTCCTTAAACACGGGACCTACTTGTTCTGTAATGCCTTCATTTTATTGCCTAATTAGAGATCACATTTCTTATGCAAATTTTTCTGAGGCAGGAAATAGAAAAATTTACCTTGAAATATAACATTATCAGGCCTTCCTAGAAACAGATTTGAGGAGGGGGGAAGGAAGGTGTATAATGTAGGGTTTCTAAAGGATTTGGGACAAGAGGCAGTGGAGAAATAGATCTGTGTTTGTTTTATTTTTTTTTTTAAGATTTATTTATTTATTTGAGAGAGAGAGAGGGAAGGGGCCGATGGAGAGGGAGAGAGAGAATCTCAAGCAGACTCAACGCTGAGCGCAGAGCTGGACACCGGGCTCGATCCAGTGACCCTAAGATCAGGACCTGAGCCGAAATCTAAGAGTTAGATGTTTAATGGATGGAACCACCCAGGAGGCACCCAGGTGCCCCCCCTGTGTTTTTATTTGTCAAGGAGACTGAAGTGGAATTGTATGCCAGGGCTTCATAGTTTTTCTGGGAAACTGATGTGGAGGGAATGGCTGTCCATCTGTCCATGCCCCTATTCAAGATGAGAAGGAAGTACTAAGAAGAGGCTGGAGGATCCAAAAACAAAATTTATTTCATAATTTTGCCTTGAGCTGACCTGAGATACCTATTCCCATCACTACTCTGAAACTTTTTTATTTGAAATTTGAAACATTTTAAAATCTCAATTACACCATGTATATAGCTAACCTCAGGGGGAAAAAGGTCAAATAAAATAAAAGCAGAGCCATTCTACCAACCCCAAGTTTGGCAGAGATGCGGAAAATCAGGTATTCTTAAATATTCTTTGTGGGGCTGTGAATCAAAATAATAGTTTTGGAGTGTGATAGGTGGATAAAAAATTCATTGGTATTGATGTATGATTCTTTAACAACACTAATATTTTATTTAGGGTCTTTACAACTATGTTTGGAAATGAGGTTGGTACATGTCATCAATCTTGCCTCATTTTGGTGTTAGAGTTGCACTAACTTTTTAGTATGAATTGGAAAGTCTTTTTTTATTTACTTATGCCCCAGAACAGTTTATATAACAAAAGAATAGATCGCTGATCACCTTTATAAATTTTCCAGCAATTATTGATCAATTTAGATTTTCTGCCTTTCCCTGAGTCAGTTTCATGTATTTTCCTGTGTAATCAAATATTTCATCTAGATTTCAAGTTCATGGGTACACAGTTATATGCAGAATTTGCTTTCTCTTTTTTTTTTAAGATTTTATTTATTTATTTGACAGAGAGTGAGACAGCGAGAGAGGGAACACAAGCAGGGGGAGTGGGAGAGGGAGAAGCAGCCTTCCCGCTGAGCAGGGAGCCCGATGTGGGGCTCGATCCCAGGGCCCCGGGATCATGACCTGAGCCGAAGGCAGATGCTTAATGACTGAGCCACCCAGCTGCCCCCAGAATTCTCTTATTATTTTAAAAATCTCCTTTATGTCTAGAATTATATGGATTTTTTTATTCTTCATTTTTAACTTAATCAAAATCATGATCATTTCAAAGAACCAGGTTTTCATTTTAGTGATCAATATTATTATTTATAATTTGAAGTGATTATTTTCTGCTTTTATCATTATCCATTCATTTCTTCTGTTTTTGCTTCCTTAGCCATTCTTTTCCTAGAATTTTAAGTTGATGTGGTGGTCACGTTATTTTTATTCTTTCTTGTTTCCTAATAAATGAATGCATTTAAGATTATGTATCTCACATGTTTTTATATGCATTATGTCATTCTCATTCATTTTAAAATATATGTCACTTATTTTCTCTTAAAATTGTTTTTAATATTAGAATGTGTGTGGTATTTGTAACATTTTGTAAACATGCTATTTTGCTTTAAAAAAGCATGGCTTCTCTATTTGCTGGGTACAGAGTTTTAGGTACAGATTACACGTACTTTTTATTCAAATACTCTATATATTTACTTATTTCTGAGAGGCATGTTGAAATCTCCTATTATGAGTACACACTTCACAATTATTCCTTAAAAGTAAATAGTCTTCACTTTGCATGTTTTGAAGCTTTAAAAAAATGTATAAAGGTTCATGACAGTCTGTTCTTGGTGGGTTGCAGTTTTTATCAACATAAAATCTCTCCCTTTCCTATTTAATGCAGTTGCTTTATATTATATTTTACTTTATATTAATATTTATAGTAATATAATTAATTAATATAATATTGGTATTTATATTTTAATTACCATACACACTCTTATGGGGGATTAGAATGTGTCTGATACATTATTCTATCTGTGCATTTGTGGGGTTTTTTTGGTCACTTTTTGGTGGTCATTTTGTTTTAGCTGTGTATCTTATAAACAGCAAGGTAGATTTTTTTTTTTTAACTGAATCAGAATATCTTTCTCTTAAAGGTAACAAAGAATCCAGCTAGGTTTAATATGATTACTGATTTCTTTCATCTTTTTTTCCATCTTATTTTATGTTTTCTATTTTCTAGACTTTATCATTTCCCTTTTACCTTTCTTTTCCTTTAAAAATATATTTCCTTAGATAATATATGCACATG